CGATAATAAAGTACATTTTTTTTTCGTGAATTTCTCACGAATATTCTATCAGCAATTTTAGCACTATGATTTAAAAGCTCCTATCCCCATGTTTACTCTCACTTCTTCCTTGTCTATTTTATCCTCTTAAGACCTCATCCTACTAACTCTGAAGCCCCCGCGCAACAAATTCCCCTCCCTGAAGATTTAATGAAGATTCATTAACAAAAACTACCTGTTGGCAGAGCTGTCACTATTCTTCTGTCATCTTTAAGACTGACTGAGAGCAGTGCTGCTAAAAAGAGCTTCAATTCCCGCCAGTTATTAATGAAATGTACTATGCAATCAATGTCAGGCTATCAAAATCACAATTTTTCAATTCATAACACTGCAACATATTCAAAAAACAGTTAAATGCTAAGAATGAAAAAAAAAACATGAAATATATATGGAAAATCTTAAAACCATCCATGCAAATAGCGTGGGTGAAGTTACCGACACGCTTCCAAATGCTATTATAAAATGTTAAAATAAAAAAAGAAATAACCTGAAAATTTTGAAAGACTATACTGGCTACCGAAAGGGATAGCTGCAGGTTTTTCAGCAGATGCGGGCCATGAAGTTATATCGATCTGAAAAAAAAAATCGTTTTGATCTCATAGCAACTTGATCATTCAGAGTTAAAAAACAACCAACATTCATAAATGAACAAATACCTATGCCCCACTTATTCCCTTCTTAACACAACAGCTATGTTTTGCCCGAATAATCAGTCAAGAAGCCGATGAGTACTACTTTTCCCTGTCCCAATTAGAGCCTGATTTGCATACAGTTTCCGAATGGCAATTTTTATACATCATTTATATTTACATACATCAAATCCGAATATTTATACATCAAATCCGTATGGATGTGACACTGCCGACCCGTTACATGCACTAGTTTTGCAATTTTAATACATTTATATCGACACGCTCATGCCACTGCTACATTCACTGACAGCTTTTCATGTGTATTAGCTTCGCCGTCTTTCCCTGCCACTTCCATCATCCCTCTTACATCGCTCGACTTTCATAGTGACTAGCAGTGCTGCCCTCGCGTTAAACGTCGAAAGTTCGACCTCGTTAGTGAGACAATCAATCCATCTAATGATTCGTTCATTCACTTCGATAGCAAATTGATATTGGTGCCAGCCAAAGAGGCGAAATCGCCATCAGTTTGTTTATAAGAAACCCTCAAAAGAGAACAGCCATCGATAGTTTTGTCAGCGAATCGTTGCTGTGAGCATATGACATCCCCGGACCACACTTCATTCCCTCAATGGTATCTTTCATCTCCTTGGTAAAGGATAAAGATACGGTTTTGCATTTTGAAGTTTCTCCACAAGTTTACCCCCTTTTAGATGCAATCGGTTCCGAAGCACTAGTGCTACATTACCATCGGGCACCAGTGATTTGAAAGAGATGGAGAAAAATGCTTACACGATTAGCAATGGCATACATTTCCACATATTGCTGGCACTTCAGCATCAGTGTTAGCTCCTTGTTCCGTTCGAATAGCCCAGGCCATGTGGCTTCGACAATTCTCATCGCCTCCGCGACTTGACCATTCAAAATCAGTCTTCTCAGTTCTAAAATCAACCTTCCCAATTTAAAATAAGATCAGTTTTCAGTATGTTATACGCTGCAGGTGTGGGTGAGAAATGGGTCTTACATAAAATAGCATAGAATCGGCCCGAAGATGCAAATTTGCATCCAAAAACCAACAAATAGGTACAGGATTATTTTGATGAGCCAGAGTAAGATGGCTACACCGTCAACTGCCTGGAAATCTGCTGTGTGGCGGCGGTGGCTGTCTTGCGCTTTCCAGCAACAGATGCTTCGTCTGGAGTGAAGCAGTGCCGTATTCGACGCTTTCAAAGAATTAGCTTGGAAGCGTCGAAGAGAAATTTATAAATTTTCATTTATTTTACATCATCTTACAAATTTATGTTCATTTATTTTACATTATCTTACTTACATTAGTACCACAGTTTTCGCACTGATGAGATCCAGATGGTGAGTTGAAGAGGGATACATGCGTCTTTATGGAACAAAACATTTCCCTTCATGTTATTATTTACTATATCTTTTAATATGTTTTTGTTATATACACATATATATAGTAAAGACGATAATGGTATATACGTCATTAACATCTTTACTCTGTGTGTCGCGAATACTTCTATAACTTGCATTCGGAGTGTGGTTAGCGGCTACATGTCACGTTGATGTAGTATGTGGTTCAGTATTAGTGGTGGGATTGCCGAGAGTGGAAAACACAAAAAGCAAAAGGCCGAATCTCGAAAACTCTGAAACTGCTACTGGATGTTCTTCTTAGTGGCTGAGGATTCCTAGCCGGACAATATTCCTCAAGCAAACTCACTGGAATTTTCTACCCTATAACGTCGAATTTGCGTCACCTCAGCATATCAACTCAATCCACACTACCACATACCATAGCTATAGTGCTCCGGGGAACTCAAACACTCCCGTGGACAGTGGCATATACACGGAAAAAAAGCGCTAGCTCAGTGAAAAGAACAAAACGGATATAGTTAGGAAGGACATAGTTCCGGGCAAATGGCCCTACTCAAAAACACGAATGACGAAACCTGCGTGCAAATTACCAAACTAAGTTCTGACACAGCTAAGCTTCTGGTTATACAGAATTTCAGAAATCAAGGCAACGAACCTCGGCGCTGTTCCATTTCAGTCGTCTCGATTTCACATCTGCTCAGGGGCGGACCGATTCCTTGCTCTTCGGAGTGCTTGTGGAAGGCAACCAATGCACGACCATATCCCTCATGCGCAAGCCACGATGAAACTGCGCTTAAAATGAGTACACTGAGGAAAGAGCAATATAAAAGAGTTTTCAAAAGAAATTCCTCTGCAAACTTTATGCAGCGTGCTAAATCGAAACGTGGTCACTGACGAAAGCTGAAGAGCAGACAGTAGCTCTGTTGGCAGAACGATGCTTGGCGTATCGCTCTGTTCAGGGGGCTACGCCAGAAAAAAAAATCGATTGGCAGTGGCAAATGTTGCTTGCCATGCTGACAACCGATGGAAGTCGCAAGTCAATGAGTGACAGCTGAGAGAAACTGTATGGTGATTAGAGCGATTTTCCAAGAACTAGTACACGTACAGTGAACAGTAAGTATTAACTGAAATGCAGCTCTTCAGGATATACTAAGCAGCCGCTGGCATAATGGTACCCAAAATGTGCATGTTCTGCAGCGTGAAAAAGAACCTCCACTACGGAGAAAGCAATTAAAGTTTTACAGCTTTACAAAGCAACAATCGCTCACCATTCCATCCACATTACTTTCGTCTGCGGTAACTCCGTCTTGCTAATCTCAAC